ATCCCTGTCAGGTGGGAACACAAGGTACCCCCTCACAGGGAGGGGAAACATCGACAGCTGCCCCTGCGCACCCAAAACTGGCCCAGCTTTCCCCCCCAAAAAAACCCTTCAAAACACACTAACGTGGCCCCTGCGCCTTCACTACCTCCTGCTAGGCTGTCTGCAAACACCTGAAACCAACGAAAAAGCCTATTTAGTTGTATTTACTAATTCACACCGGCGCTGCTAGTGCCATTCAGACTCGGTCCCACTCTTCATCAACCAGGCGGCTGCAGTGGGTTTGGGAATATGGGACGATTTCATATTCGGGGCGTTTTGGGGTGTTTTGGAGTCACTAGATGTCACTGTCGGCTCATGGTGGGGACACAACACCGGGTGGTAACACGTGGCTGGCTGGATCCTGCCGCCTCCATGCCCAGGCCAGCAGCCCATGCGGGAGCATGGCCACAGAGCAAGAGACCTCCCCGGCCACCCGGCCGGCAACGAGAGACAGACAAACTGCCTGGGACACCTTCCTCATCTGTATTTTGGGGTCTGGCCCCGGTGAACCCAGCAGCGGGCTGTGCAGGGCACTGCTCCGCCACGCAGGGCCCATCCCGGGGGTCTACAAGGACCCAGACACAGATGGAGCAATGCTACCTTACGACTCCTATTTCAATTACATCTTCATACCAATAGTAGGAAGACTAGCCATTACTGTAATAACAGCATTACGTGTCCTGTTTTTCTAAGGTTTCGGTGCTAAGTGGCAGGGCGTTTCACGCGTAGAGCATCAGCTTGAGTCATGGCCCGGCCAGCAACGCTTCGAAGCGTCCTTCATGTCTCCGAACGAGCCCTGGTGCCCACATTAATTTGGAAGTATTTGAGAAGCTGGACCGGGATTGCTTCTGCTTCTGTATTTGCAGAGCACAAGGGGAACCTTCTCCTGGCCTTGAGTTTGCTGAAGCATCAGCCTGGCAGAGCGGGGGCTGCACAGAAGGTTTGGCCGCATCCACCTGCAGATGGAGGTCCTTGGAGGTCCTTGTTCTCCGGGAGCAGCAGCCCGAACCTGAGCACCCCGTGTTTACCAGACGTTATGTTTCATACTATAAATGTAGTTCTATCTCTGCAGGAACTGGCCCAGAGATAATAACTCATCCCATCTACTTTCACCCATGATATGGGGTCATCAATCAATTTTAAAAAAAAAATTTTAGCATTTATTTTGCCCAAAACAGCTTATTAAGCAAAAACCCCTCAAACTCAAACTTTTGGGAAGGATGAAAATATGTTGGGGTTTTTTTCTGCCAGCTCCCAGGGGATTAAAGGTGTCCTGAGAACAACTTAACTCTTGCAATCAGCTCGGCCCCCGGCCGGGCGATATTAAAACATTCCCCATAAGCCCTCTTGTCTCGGGGATGATCGCAATAAACCCACTGGCATGCGAGATTAGCGGGTTAACCCTGTTCCTTCTGATTTTTGACACAGGTTTTCAGCTGATCTGCTTAAAAGCTATTCTTGTTCCATTCCAAATGTTCAAGCTTGAGATGAGTGCACAGGTTTACCAGCAAACACACAAGTGTGGGGAAAAAAAACTGCTCTCATATTTGCATTGGCATGTCAGGAATGGTAACATGCGAGAGAAGAAATCACCCTTTCAAGATTTCATCACCCTTTCAAGAAGAAATCGCCCTTTTGTGAATTCTGGTGTTAGAAAGCAGCTATTACTTTTTGACAACAGGGGTCATCTTAGGGGAAGGAAAAGGTGCATTTCTTTTCCCTCTTTTTTTTTTTACTCCAGTTCCTCAGAAACACAGCAAAAAAGATCAGTAACCCATCCCTGGCAGCTGTGGAGCAAGACGCCACTGAGGCCTCGCTGCCTGTTCAGAAACCAAGGAGCTGCCCAACCCTGCCTCCCCCCAGCCAGTCCCATCTCTTTTTAAAATAAACTAGATTTTTATTAAGAAGCAAAGCAAATAAATAAGTGACACTTACTAAGGAAAAAAAACGTTATTTCTATAAATAACAATGTAAGAGTAAAGTGATACACAGTGTTCTGGGTCAGAAAGAGACAATAAATTATCCTGAGCTGACGGGACGTGGTGCCTGGTACCCTGGGCAGACCTAGGAAGGCGAGGTGACAGCCTGAGCGCTGACAGCCTGGCCTAAGAGCACTTGGCTGCTAACGCACAGTCGGGGAAGGTCAAGTACTCAACTCAGTCCTGACCCCTCAAAGCCCTCCCACCCACCAGGAACACAACTGCTGACTGCATCGGGTGGTTACAGATGTGCTCACCGAACACTCCAGGTGCCGTTTCCCATGGCACCTGGATGTATAATGAGGAGAGAACAGAGCAACTGCTGTCTGGGCCAGAATTGGCACATCTGGACGAGGGGCAGGGGGTCGTCTGAAGCACCAGAGGTGCTGGAAAGCTGCCTTTTTATAACAGCCCCGATCCCCACACCTCGGCCAGCCCGAGTGCCTCATTCCCTGCTGCAGCAGCATGTGCACACCTTGGCGAAGGAAGGCAATGGCAGAAAGCAGAGAGACCCACCAGGTTCTGCCCTCCGGGTTTGGGAAGCCAAAACAAAGGCACAAAAACTCCAAGGCACCTGACAAGAGGAGGCACTTCTGTTCCAGGGGCAGGATCAGACCCTGTTCATCTTATTGCAAGAGTAATGATGCAGTCTGCGGGTGGGAGCAAAGGGCTTTCCAATTTTTTTTTGTTGTTGTTGTGATCTAAGCATCAAACATGGGAGTCAAGTTAACCAGGAAAAACGATCAGGGTTGATTTTCCTCCCAGCACAGGTCTCCCTCCGGGGAGCACACAGGCACACGCAACACAGGTGAGCCCATGTTCAAATGCCCTTATGCTCACAGCCGTCAGAGACACCGTCTGGTTGTCCCCCCCAGCCTCTCTGCTGGAAACCGTTTGTGTGTCCTGGTGCTTCAAGAGCAAACAGGAGATCATATGCCTTGCCACAGCTATGGCACCATCAAGGACAACCGGCCTGGTGATGAAGTCCCAGAAATTACAGCACATGGCTACCAAACAGCAGCCAAACAATATTTGGGGGGGTTGCTCCCAGCCAGCTGGAGTTTGGTCCTGTAGCTCCAACTCTCGCATCGAGACCGTAATGTCTCGCTTGAACCAAAGAAGCACAGACGTGCCTGCATCCCCAGTATCTCCATCAAGCAGACACGGCTCAAAGAACAACAGCAGCAGCTGAATCTCATCAGCTGTTCAAAGCTCAACGTCCACAGTGTCCTCCTCGTGGTCCTTGATGTCCGTCGAGTCCACGGTGGCAGGCTGTATCACCCTAAACTGTGACAGCTTTGCCGCCTTCTGCTCCATGCTCTGCTTCCTCCATTTGATCCTCCGGTTCTGGAACCAGACTTTCACCTAGCAGGAAAATGGCACAACAGCTTAATCCAAGGTCTCCAGGAGCCCCTTTCCAATGGGGGCCGTTGCCACATGCTTCCGAGGCAGATGTCCCCAAAAAGCAGAGTTCCTTAAGGAAAGGGGTATGCCCCTTCTCTGCTCAGGGCACAGTGCATGCGAGCGGGAGGAGGTGACACTATGGTGGGCAGAGTGGTGCTGGGAGAAAGGACCAGGGGAGAGGGGGATGCAGCTGCACAGAGGAGGCTCTGGCCAGGGGCATGAAGGAGGTGCCTCCCGTAGTGAACCCATCCCGGGGGCCACGGCTGCCAGAGGGCATGATGAGACACCCACCTACCCCCTGCTCCTGCTCCCTGTGCTGTTCACACCCTCCCTGTGCCCCCTGGAACTGCCCTTGCTTTGCTCTCCCTTTCCCCAGCTGAATTTGGATCCCACCACAGAAGATCACGTGGCTCCTCCTTTCCACAATAAATAAGCAGCCTGCAGTGGGAGGGACAGAAACTCACTGGGAAGAGCAGAAAAAAATTTAAATCCAGCGTCACAAAAGGACACTTAATACAGAGGATTACAACAATGTAGATACGTTAGTCCAGCTTGAACTCTAAAGCAAACACGTTTGTGCTCCTGAATGCTTTTTGTTCCACTTCATGGATTAAGAAAACGATGTTCTTATTCATAAACCATTTAAACCTATCTTGCATCCCTCCAGGCACATGGGTTCAATGTCATCTTGCAGCAGGGAGTCCCACGGGTCACTTTGCATCACGTCCTCCTCCCACTGCGCTTCACAGCAGGGACGTCACCACAGACCAAACCCAGACCCGGGATCTCTGCCACCTTCCCCAGCTCTCCCATTCCTTACCTGAGTCTCTGTGAGATGCAGAGTTGCAGCCAGGTCTACTCGCTCCGTGCCCACCATGTACTGCTGCTTGAGGAACTCTTGCTCCAGCCGCTCCAGCTGCTCTGGTTTGAAGACGGTGCGGACCCTCTTCATCTTGCAGGGCCCCCCGGACCTCCAAGGCACAGCAGGGCACAGCGAGTTGGCCCCTACACAGTGAGACAACTCCAGACCTGCAAGCAAGAAGCAGTGACTGAAGGGCTCTGCATGTTTGAGGCCATTCCTCCAGCCCTGCTGATGTGCCAAACCCCGCTTGCTTCAGCTGTAGCTGAAATCCAAATGCAGCTGCTCTGTGCACTGAAGGGGGCTGGGAGAAAGTAGCACCAAAAAGAAAAGCAGGGATGTCCCTACACTGTCCCTACCTAGGTTATCTCATCTGGGCTCCCTTTCCCACGAAAGGTTGGACCAGATGATCCTTTGAGGTCCCTTCAAACCTATTCTGGGATTCTACCCCATAGGTACAACCTAGGACAGTCCTGGACATGCAGCCAGACCCAAAGAAGTCAGCACTCAATGAGGTGAGCAGGGTTTGACCTCCACCTGTACAGGATCTTTGCAACAGAATCATAAAGTCCAAGAGCTCCCGAACGCAAAAATCCCCCCTCCATCTCAGGAAGTCCCTAATCACAAACGTCTAAAGGTTGGGGGAGTTGACCCCATGCTGGCCCCTGCTTTTACCCTTCCCTTGGCACCCGTAGTCAGCCAGTGTCCAGAGGAAGATACTGAAGCTGGCAGACTGGCTCGATGAAGACAAGAGTCGCCAGCCCTCGCGCAGGCCCTCATCCCAGACCTTCGTCCTTTGGTCTCAGTAAGTTCAACGGATCCATGGAGTTCCTCGTGTGCAGAGGCATTAGCAGGACTAACAAGTAGATCTGGTCTCAGTCTCCTATCTAGCTGTGGCCTGACGATAACCATAATTACCTAATTAACATACAATACACCATCAGCGCTGCCACAGGACCAGCCGGCACCAGCCCAGGAGTGGTGCCGTCTCTGGTTTCTGAAGCCCTCATCCTGCCAGCACGGACTTTGATTCACACACATCTCGATGTGTACAAAAGCAGCCTGTGACTGCTACCCCCAACCATCCCCGGGGAGCCACAGGGCTCATCCCAGCCAGCTCTGTCCTCCTGAAGGGCCTTCACACGAGCCAGACCTCACCGCCAGGAGGACCGCAGGGTGGAGACACCACAGTCAAGGGCTGAGGAAAAGGGGGCTGCAGCCGTCAAGGCAAAAAACCTCTGCATCCAAGATGCTGGTTCTGGAATTACGACATGCACAGGAACATTAGCGTAGACTTTGCACGTCAGTGTGAGGCGCTGGAGGGACAGTCGAGCCCCTCCTGCTCGATGCCAAAAGCTACTGGATCAGGGACTCTGCTCCTGTTCCGAGCCCCAGAAAGGCTCCAGGCAGTGGGACCTGCCTGCACAGGCGAGACCGCTGGGTGCCACGAGAACACCTCCAAGTGTCAAAGTACGATCGTGAAGGTACTAGGAACCGGATAAGGCCAGCACTAAGATAGGTCTGATGGCACCACAGCTTCTGTCCCGCCAACACCCAGGCACACGCTTAACTTTTAAGAAAAAGAACCCACCAGTACAGCCAACGGGACTTTTCTGGGTGGAAAGCAGTATGCATCTGCAGGATCAGGCCATCAATGCTCCCCACCATCGCCGTTTTGAAATCTCAGCCCCTGGGCAACGCGATCTGGCTTTGAGATCAGCTCCGCTTTGCGCGGAAGTTGGATTCAGCAGCCCGCAGAGGTCCCCCCTCAGCCGGAGTCACTGCACACTGTCACCAGGGTACAGCAACAGCAGCCACAGGGGACGCTGGACTGGTGGGATATATCGTGGCAAGGCAAGCTGCCTTAACTTTTATGGAAATACTGCACATAATGATGCCGATTCACACCCGCTACTTGTCTCTCCTTTCATGACTGACGTCGTCGTGTTCTCCAGGCACAAACGGGCACCTTGAACTACCTCATTTCATTAACTGGGTGCAAGTTCTGCGCGTGTTTAAGGATTTGTGGGATGGAGACCTGACAGCTTAACAGCCGTAATTGCACTTAAAACTATTTTCATCATTAAAATAATTTCACCTGTCACATTTTCTCCATTTCAATACTCGGATAATAGCAAGTGTAATTTCAAACATGAAATACTTTGTGGGAATAGCTTTGCAAGTTGTTTTAACTATATTTTCATACCTGTGTATTTGATATAATACAAATATTAACACACAACTATGCAGATGCTGTCTCGTAAAAGAAATAATAGATTAAATAGCTATGCTAGGTAGTTAAAAAAAAGATCAAGAGTAGCAAATACTTTTGGTATCTGAATATTGTAGCTATCAGGATCAAATCAAGAGTTCCCGATACAAATAAAATATGTGCTTGGCTGCAGGTTTTGCCTGGGCAACAACGAGATCAGGCTCTGAATGCTAAAAAGATACTTAAATGTCAAGAAAAGTAAGCTATAGTAGAGGCACTTCATTAAAACAGAGGAGTAATTTTGCTTATGAAGAGTTACAACGCTCCTCAGTGAAAATACAGGGAGCCTGATGGATTCGCCGATATCGTCCACCACCACTCTGTAAATTTTAGCCACGGAATAACAACAAAAAACTTTTTGCTTAGGTGCTTTCGCATTAAAAATACGAGCAGTTTTTGGGGCCGGGTGCTGCGAAATACACAGCATTTACATTTCTGCGAGTGGCCCCAGGGAGAGCGACATTACAGATGGACGAGGGCAGCTTTGGGAGAAGAGGGGACCCCACACAACAGCTGAGGGGTGCTGGCATGGTGGGGAAATTACTTTCGGGGATGAGGCTTGGGGAAATCGCAGCAGCTTTTCGCAGGCACGATGAAAACACAGGCATTGCGGTGCCCTTCTAGGACACGAAAAGAGAAATAAATGCCGGTGTGTGCAAAGCAGCCCTTAAAACGCAGGTGGGGGCTGAGGTGGGCACGGGGGGGGGCTGTCCCTGACCTGAAACCTTCTACTGGAGTCAAGCCTGAAGGGTGCGAGTGGTGTCGTTAGGGTATCGCTTCACCCGGTCATTAATTGTTGCGGGTAAATGGCCAATATTAGTTATCGATCACTACAGAGGGGAAAGATAATTGTTAGGAAATTCTGCCCTCCCCCTCCTGCATTTCCCACAGCCCCAGCCCAACTCTTCACCCTGGGGCTGGTCGAGAGACTGCGGGAAATAAAACTACAGCCGGGGGGGTTGGGGGGGGTGAAGGTATTTTTGGGTGACCCAACCCCCCTATTTTCCAGTGCGGGGGATGCCAGCCAAGCGCCCGGCTGGAAGGTCCCCGCAAC